TTCTTATCTTACCTTCTTTCTTATCCTTCTTTCTTTTCTATATATATATATATATATATATATTCCGATTTCTTACGTTTCTTTTTTTTTATCTGTTTTTGTTCTTTCCATATCTCCCCGAACGCGACTCTCTTTTATGCAAATTTATTAAAATATTTTTTGTAAAAACATTTCGAAGAGACAATGCAGTTTGATTTAAGCTGATTAACAATATCGACGAAAATATAATTATTCTTTTTGAAAGATTTATTGATTAAATTATGGGACTTGTACAATTAGCGAACAAGTAGATACGATGTTGCTAATTGTACCTGTAATTATATACGATGGAAAAATCAATTTTATGATTTATTTTATATAACAATTATATTATACATATATATATACTAAATCAAAATGAATTTTTACAATTTTTTGATTTAACACACTGTCATAATTATAACAGTACAATTATATATAGCCAATCATCAATGGAATAATAATCAACTTATATTTTTAGATAGAAAGAGTTGTCACTTTCGTTATATTGTCACGTATATCTGTTAATAAGAAGAACGTTAATGATACTCGTAATACGATTCGTAAAAAACATTACTTATTTCGTCGATGACGTGTATTGACGATCAAGTTTGAAGTGTCCTTTGATCGAAAGTGGTGGCGGGCGTGCATATCGTAATCGTCAAAGTCAATTACGCTATCTAAATTATATAGTCCTTTTGTGGTCACGATGAACGTACACGCGTCAGGAGTCGGCAGCACGCATCGCAGTTCGGATTTGGTATATATTCGTATGCTATATCTATATATATATATATATATATGTATACGTATATGTAGTTACGTAGGACATGCACATGGTCGACCAGCTCGACAAGCGCGTTAATAATGCAGCCTTGTCATTTTGCGTGAGAACGATCACGCAAATTGCTTGGACTCGCGGATTTTCGAGTCATTATTATCCATGTATTTATCGATAAAAATGCACATTTATTTATTTTACCTCTGCTTATTGACAGAAATTCGAATAACGTCTGTACTATATATATATATATATATATATATATAATTCGATTGAATATATATTTATAATATGTAGATATAATATGTCACACGTTTGATTTATAATTACTATTCGCAGATTTAAATATCTCCGATTGTTAAATGTCCATAATAGAAAACAATTTCGATACATATATATATATATATATATATATATTTTTTTTTAAAAGGAATAAACTTTTTATTTGAGAATTTTTTATCGACTAACACATTTTTACATGCAATT